ACTGAACAGGTAATGAACTGGTAGCATATTTAGTAAAAAAGATATCTGAACTGTTTCTCAGTTTACTACTGCAGTCACTAATAGCATTTAACTTACAGAATCACAGAATATGCTGAGTTGGAGTCCAACTGCTGGTCCTGCACAGGACACCCTAAGAATCACATCATGTACCTGAGAGCTTTGTCCAAATGCTTCTTGAACTCTGTCAGGCTTGGTGCTGTGAGCACGTCCCTGGGGAGCCTGTTCCAGTGCCCAACCACACTCTGGGTGAAAAACTTTTTCTCATTATCCAACCTAAACCTCCCCTGACACAGTTTCATGCCATTTCCTTGAGTCCTGTCACTGGTCAGGAGACTGAAGAGATCAACACTTGCTCCTCCACTTCCCCTCAGGAGTTTCAATCATTGCCAATACTTAAGTCAAACTACAGAGAACTTAATTTTCATTAATTATTGAAGAGTAAAAAAGCATGATTTCATGCTTTGCATTTCGAGATGCCTTTAAAAACAAACAAACAAAAAATTAACACATATTGAATACTTTGCCACCCTCTCCAAAATCAAGCTTTTCGCAGTTTTCAACTTCTTGATCAACAACAGCTGTCAATTCAACCAGGGGCATTCATGTAATTTACTTGTACATAAAGAGAACATTAATTTTTGAGATTTGTACATTTCAAAGAGTATCTGTACATCTACCATATTATATACATACTAATGAATTATATTAATTGAAGCCTGGTTATCTCTGGTTGTCCAAATACGATAAAAAGCATCAACACAGCCAGAAAAGTAAAGAATTAACTACCAAGATTATCTCTGAATCCCCATTTAAATGGTTGCTCCTAAATACCTGCATAGTGATTGCATTCAAAATGCATATATTCACATTTTTTCCCAGTCTGCCGACTACAGCTTTTACTCATAAGGTTCTGTGTATTTGTCAGTCACTGGAGTTGATCAGCAGAGCACTGAGAAGGGCTACAGTTGGAGACCATTCAGAAACAGAAGTTATGCAAAGCATTGTGAGCTGCTTATTGAGCAGCCTCATGCTGCAAACACATGTCATTTGTGCACTGGGCGCTGCTGTGGCTGCCAAGGAGCTTCCATGCAGAATGCAAGTTGCTGGTATGCAGCTATAGCAATTTAAATCATTACTTGACCAACCACCTCCTTCAGGGACCTACATAACATGAGACAAGGATTTCTTGGTTTGGATGCTCAAATCCCACTAAAGGAAATGTGTGATTCAAAGTACAAACAACTCCCATCTGACAGACAGCCCTCTGCCACACTTCCAATTATTAGGGAAGGTCCTCTGAATGATATTTCCTTGAATTAGCAGTACATCCCTCCTATTTACAAATTGCTCAGTGACAAGTCTTCTCTTTGGCTATGACTCATAAGCCTTGGCTTGCCCATGCCAGAACTTGCAGCTTTTTGGACATGTGTTGCAAAACCTCACCACCAGAGCTCTTGTTTCCCTCACCTCCCCCTTTCACACAGTGAACACTCAGAGAAAAGCGGTTTATTTCTCACTTTATATCATTTAGAATTTAACTAGTTGCACTGGAGACACCATGCAAATTTACTAGACTTCATTTTAACATAAACTGTAATTTACTGCAACCAATACTAAAATTTTATACAATGCTTTAGACAAGAAAAAAATATCAGTTTGTTTTTGTTGTTGGTGGTGGTTTTTAGAAAAGGTGAAACAACAAAAATGAGCTCTTACCAACATTCTCATTCAACAATTCCATCAGTAGGTTAAAAAAAGTGGCTGCTAAATGTTTACCTAAGCTCAGCAGAAAACCAGGTAAGTTTCTGGAGTAGAAACTCAAGAACTGCTAAGCATATAGAAAACATATCCGCCTTTGGAAACCAGGCCACAGGCTAGGCAGACTCCCATTCTGATTCATGACAGTCACTCTTGTCTCCTTACAGGCCTGGACACACCTCCCCACACACACACTGCTGTACCACCATCACCAAAGTGCCTATTTCCAAAGAAGGTTGCAGGTCCTCCATCAGGGACAACTTAGGGGATAGCTTAGCAGCTCGACAGAACAGTGTCACGGAAGGGATGACAGGCTTGAAAATATCTCCTGCAGTTCTGCAGCCACCACTGCCAGGTGACAGTAAGAGTGAAAATGCAAAAACATAACTAACATCTGAAACACTTATGCAGACTCTCAAAATGCTTGTACCGTGCTACAGCTCTCACCATTTCATATTACCACAACTCCCATGCACCCGGATGGGTTAAAGGCCAGCACGGCTATGCCTCCGTTTTGCTAACATGCACACAGATGTATATATATCTGTGACTAATTCCACTGAGTACCACAGGACGACTCAAGGACATGCAACTTACCTACTCCTTTGTATACAAGCCTGAAGAATCCTGGCCTAAAACTTTCTCTCCTACCACACAGGTTGTGAAAAACAAATGACTTAGCATAAGGAATGACTATATTGTATCACTACCACGAATGATCTAAGGAATCTTTAAGCGCTATTCCTGTTTTACTCCAGACGTAATTTTGACTTTAAAACACGCTGTATAAGACAGATTGACAAGTCAATCAAGACATGAAGTACAATCCCAAGACAAATCTACAGGTAGAACAGCACAGTAATGCACAGATTAACATATAATCATTTTGTATTAAAAGAAAATGCTCCAATAAAATTATAGAAGGATCACTATGAAAGTTTGTCCAGTGACAGGTCTTGTCCTGTGGATTATTAGCCACTTACTAAAAAAAGCCAAAAAAACTCCAAACACCTCCCCCCACACCATCAGTACATCTGTACATTCTTCATTAACAAAGCTGCATACATTTTACATGAAGTATTTCATTGACAACCTGCAGAAACTACCAATAATAAGACGATCTGTGTGTTTAGTTAAAATATGTTCTAGTTGAACATCAAGTAATTTAAAAGCAGCTTTCCATTGTTATAGTACTTTCCATCACAGTACTCAAAACACTTTACAATCAGCAGTGATGGCTAAAGATAACATTTCTAGAAAATTGCCTCTAATGTTAGAAAGGCCAGTTTCTGAGCACCAGATCTGAAATCTTTCAGATCTGATATTTCCTTAATTTCAAGTACTTCCAAAACTAAGATGATAACAGATAACCAGCACCTCTGAAAAACAAATTTTAGGGAACTTTAAGTTGTACCCACAAGAGCTTTGGCTTAACTATGTCAGTCTTTCAAAGTCTTAGCTAAAAGACTTACTAATACAGTGTCAGTGACACACATTCTCAGTACTTCTTACTATCCCCTCAGCCAACAATGCCTGTGAGATCACTGACCAATCTGGAACTCTAGCTGAAGTTGAAGCAGCATGCTCTAAGTGTATCTCCTTTCAAGCTCTAATTTTTTGTGGTCTTGCACCGAAACTCTCCTCAATGCTCTTCATTTCCAAGCAAGCTAGCTGAACTGCAGTTGTTTATTTTAACATAGGTCTTTCCCCCACACACGCACACAAGAAATCAGACCAGAGCAAGAATTACACTAAACCTGCAGGAGCGTTAGCAAGCCTGCTTGATTTTCACTTGCTGCATAATCACTTTAGAAACGTGAACCCACAGATTCAACGAGCTTTCAATTTCTGTCTGCTGTGATTTCAGAGACTACTCGCGGCACTTCTGCTGAGTATTTCAGGTCTGTGACTTCTATGATCAGCCTCGCTCCACTCCTCCCCACGTCCTCTTCTAATTCTCCGAAGAAGTTAAAGAGGAACGTGGCAGTTCGATGCAGAATACGTTCTCTTTAGCATTTGCAATGCAAAACTAGGTTTTGTTCGGTACAGAAATCTTGCACAATAGCCTGTGTATACGTATTCGTTCCAACAATGCTGTCCTATGCAATCACTCTGTAATTACACACAGTCATAAAGCTGCTGCTGTTGCTGTTTGGAACTGCAGTCTCGCCCTCTAAACAACCTAATATCAGTGTCCGCATTAGGACAATTCTTTTCTCTCTTCCCCTCCCTTAACTGCTTGCTCCAGTACAGACGGCCTTTACACTGCGCTCAAAACAGGTAGTCGGAATGAAATCAAATTATTATAAAAAATAAGCTGTTTTAAGGAATATGAAAAGTAAATCTCTGTCGAGCAAACGGAATGTTTCGCTAATTCTGCAAGCTGCAACCACACAAGACTTTACAGACCAAAAATAAATCCTGCTTATGCCTGTTTTAAAAAAAACGTAAGTATTATATAAGACTCTCACATACGCGCGTAGGTGTATTGTTAGCTTTTACTGCTAAACTGCAACGAATCAGTCCTTTGCAGTTGCTGCCAGAAAAGAGCTGTACATTGGAGAGCACGGGATTTTCAGAAATTATCTAACAAATTCCTCCTCCCCAGCCCCCTCCACTGCGTAAACCCCAGCAGAGCGATCCAACCCCGGCCACGCTGCTCGCTCGGCGGCGGACGAGGCTCGGCGGCTCCCCCGCAGCGCCCGGGGCCGCCGCACACGCCGGGCTGCTCCGGCTCCGCCACGCAGCGAGCAAAAGGAACCTCCCCCCGACCCAAACCAATTCCCCCGAGTACCACCCGCGAGCAGCTCACCCGGACACGGGCACATCCCGAAAGCCCTGCCGCAGCCAGGCAGCCGCGCAGAAACCCCTCCGGAGCATTCGTAATAACTCTCGGCAAGGCGGGAGGCGATGGCTCAGCAGCCGAGCCCGGCCCCCCGCAGCAGGCGGGCCGGCAGTGCCGCTGCCCCGGCCCCGCGGGGCTGCGCGGCCCGGGCGCGGAGCCAGCCGCCCTCGTCACCTCCACAGGTACTTCTGCTCCTCATCCTGCACCCAGCACACGCAGACAAAGCACGCACCACCACCCTCAAAAGAAAAGCCCCGGGAAAGTCACCCCCTTCTCCAAAATGGCAGGAAAACGGAAGCAAATCGTGCGAATAAAAAAAAAAAAAAATAAAGGCGCGGAAAACAGGAGAGGGAAGAAAGAGAACGTGCTGGCTCACCTGCACAGCGAGGCACGGCGGGCGCCGCGGGGGGCGCGGGAGGCTGTTCGGAAAGGGGGGCGGGGGCGCAGAAGGAGGGAAAAAAAACCCCAAACTTTGTTTCTTTCTCTCCGGGACTCAGGGAAAGCGTCACTTCCTAGTGCGTTAAGCGGGGAGGCTCCCGGGCCCGGGCTCCTCAACTCCTCCTCCTCCTCCTCCCGCCCTCCTCCTCCTCCCTCCGGGGCGCAGCTCGTCGCCGGCCCTCAGCGCCTCTGCCCGGCTCGGGCCTGGGCCCCCTGCCCTTGTGCACGGATCTCGGCTTGACCTTCTGCGCTCGGCTTTGGCTGCTGGCAGGGAAGGAGGGGAAATCCCCAACGAGTGAGGGGCGGGGAGAGAGTTTGCAGCACTGATTTTGAAGCCAAGCCCTGCAAAATACTGCCGTGTCCAACACCTGGCGGAACGCGCCGCTCTGATGCCGCGAGTTCAGTGCCGGCCTCCCCAGCAAGGTCAGGCTTCGTGGCCTTTCTGTCTAAAAAAAACAAACTAACACCTTTGATTTTTAAGGAACCACTTGTACCAGAGGAAAACATGTTTTTCTCTTTCCCCTTTCGGTCCTTTTTTTCACAGCTCTTTCAGAAGAAAAAGTGGAAAAACTGGGAAGGGAGAAAGGATTTTTGTCTAATGCAAATCCTCAGGTCATCTCTATACTGTTGGCTATTTTTCCAAACACCTGAAATGTACTTTCACAAGAACACATACTGCTGAGGTTTCTAAAAATGTTCAGCTCCTCTACTAGAATATGGCTTCCTCTGTTGCCTTGGTCCAAGAATAAAAAACACAGTGTGCTGGCAAATGCAGGCATGCTACTCTACCCTACTAAGGCAGGAAATAAAGAAGCTGCTTTGTCATTGCTCCCTCTGTAGACCGCTCTGCTACTCGAGCTTGTTCACAATCAATGAAACTTTTAGATTATAAAATAACCTTTAGACAGCATTCACAGATTATACTCGCATTCTGTGAAACGTGCCAAGCAACATGAAAATGCCAAACATTTTTCTCTAACGTGCACATCGCCACGTGTTTACCTTCATCCAGGCTCAGATCATTCAGTGCACACAGTAGCATAGCTGCTTTTTTTTTTTTTTTTCCAACCAGTGTTGCAGTTTCCCTTCCAGCATGTATTGCTCTAGAGAGTGAAATACAGAAGTAATTTTTGCACTGCACATTGTAGTTTGCATTTCTTTCACAATAGTTCCTGCAGAGCTTTTTACTAGAGAAGCTCAAGATGTGTAGAAACAGGAGCCCAGAGAAGTGACTTGCCCATGACTACAGAATGTATCAGATGCATAACCAGGTTTCTCTGACGAGTCCCAGGTCAGTAGTCTAATTACCACACCCAATCTTTTCCTGTCACGGTGCAGAGAATAACAGTGAGAGAGACATGGAGGTAAAGAGCAAAATAGTAGCCACAGGTACTACTGGTAAAGTTTCTTTTCTCTCTCAACCATGGGTATCATTAGATGCAACACTGTCTCAATAGGACCCTTCAAGGAAAACTCTTCATATTACCATTAATACATTTGCTCTTCCAAACTTCTGAATAGACAGGAGCAATAGGTCTAGAACTATATAAATCAATACAAAAAGGATATTCACAGGTGTTCACAAATTACCTAATATGTAAAGCAAATATAAATAACTGAACATATGACTAGCTGTAGTCAAAGGCATACAAACCCATTCTCTTAATTTGCCCAAGTAAAGATTGAAAAGACAGGTTCCACAAACTGGAGTTATTTCCTCTCTGTTACAAATGTTAGGCAATCAGTGCCTCCCATGAAGCACATCAGATATTGATAATATTATAATTGCTTATCTCACCTTTCACTGGAGGGAAAAAAACCCAACAAAACCACCAACAACAAACCCAAACACCACCAGTCTCCTACAATTGTAAAGCATGTTGTAACAGCAAAGTGTATCTCTTCCTTGCAGACGGAACAAATGCACGTTGTACCTCACCTTGTTGGAGGCTGGAGTAAAATGATGACCAGCGTCTTGTGTTTCACAATACATAATCACGTAAAGTGGCAGACAATGGCAGAAACGTCATCATCCAGCTACAGAAGCTGGCATTGCGCAGGCCAGGGAGTGTGCTTTCTGCCGTGCTCTGGGAGACATTTTAACACTGTTGGTTTTGATAATTGCCTCCTAAATAACGTATAAGGTAGATAGGAATCCCGCTGAGCCAAAGAAAGCATAGTAACCACAAGGACAAAGCTGAAACACACTCTAAGGTGCAAAATCTGTAGGAAAGGCTGGTTGTACTTCCTAAACATACCAAGTAGGATAAGAATAAAAAAAAGCAAGCTGGTAGGTACACCAACTAGTTTATAGACCTAAAATAGAAGAAGCACACTTAAAGACACCATGGTGTTTATGGAACTGTATGTTACCGTTTATCTTACTGAGCAATAAAAATTTTACGAAGTGTTTTGTAAAAATTTTGCCATTATACCATTATACACTCACTCTTAGGTGTATAGACTAATTCCTAGACTATTCCTCATATTACACAGTCCTTACATCTTCTCTGGAACCAGCCATCATAATTTTCTCCTTTTCAGTAGCAGTTTTTGCCATGCTTTTTAAGTTTTCTTCTTCTTTCTTCTTTTCCCAGCATTTGCTGAGGCTACATGACAGCGGCACTTCCATCAGTTTTACAGTAAGAAAACTTAATACACATGCATTCCTTGTTACGTCATTATTTTATTGCTACATTAAAGAAGGAAGATTTCCTAGTTATCAGCATAAAAAATCTTAGGTTTCTTTGGCTTGTACAGACACATCTTGTAGTGTAACAGCATCAACTCATATCATTAATAAACTGGATTGCACTGAGTCAGAATTTGAATTAAAGACTATGCTTTACCTACTTAGGTTTGCAATACTGGGCCACAGGCTCATTAGGTGGCACTCTTTTCACCACATCACTCTTTTCACCACATCAGAGTAGAGCCAAGGCCCCATCTTCTCTCTAGTCCTCAGAAGCTGAACTATTGCTCCAGCATGATGGGAGACAATAAGGAGCTCTGAAATTCAGTATAAAATGAAGGTCTTAACCACTATAGCTAGTAACAAGGTATTTACATCCTTTGTAATAGGTGTTTCAGATTCCAATAAACCTCAAATTTCCACCTCATAATCACACTGAAATTTCCTCTAAAATTTCCATCGGATGTGATATTTATTTTAAAAAATGTATGTCAGCATAAGCCAGTAATGAATAGCTGCAGAGTTTATCCCATAAATATATTCAATGCTCAAGTGCAGGGCTGCCTCTAGACAAGCTAGAAAATGGACTGACAGAAACCATACAAAGTTCAACACAGACTAATGTAAAGCCCTGCAATTTGACCAGACTAACCTTTTGCCATTGCACAGGCTGGGACTGACAAGCTACCCAGCACCACTGAATAAGAGCTGGGGGTCCTGATGGACAGCGAGTAAATACCAGCCAGCAGTGAAGGCTCACAGCATCCTGGCCTGGAAAAAGAAAAGCATAGCTAGGTCAAGGGAAATGACTATTCCCCTTTACTCATCATTAGGGAGTCTGCATCTGGAATACTGTGTCCAGTTTTGGGCACCCCAATACAAAAATGATGTTGATAAACTTGAGCCAGAAGGAAGCCAAGATGGTGAGGTGCTGGCAGATGTTCTCTGAAAGGAGAAGCTGATGGAAGCTGGGGTTGTCTACTGTGACAGGAACAGGTAAGAGAGACTTAACACCAGTCTCCTAGTAGCTACAAGATTAGATCTTTTCCTACAAGAGAAGACAAAACAAGGCCCTTTGTTGAGGTACACAGTGGGAGAAAGACAATTATCATAAATTCATACAGTGGAAATTTCAACAGTTAGTGAGGAGAGTGAAGCAATGAGCAAAGCAGTCTGATTTCAGTGTTGACCCTGCTTTGAGCTGGAGGTTGAACTGGTGACCTCCCAAAATCCCCTCCAACCTGAGTGATAGTATGATTCAGGAAGCAAATCCCCTTATCTCATGTAAGAAGAAACTTCATTAAACAATAGTAAAATACTTTGAAAAATTATCATAGGAAACTACAAGTGATTGTATGTGTTTCAGGTTTGTTGGACTTTAGTTTTGAGGTTGTGAATTTAGAAGACCATCAGCCTAAATACAAAGAAGCTCATTCCCTCATAACCACCATTTTCCACCATTATTATGGGAGAAAATGGTCATAAAAATGTTTTTTATACAAGATAATTACTCTTTACTACAGAGAAATTTGAATTTCCCCAATATCAATGTCTGTCTCCCATCTTTGTCAGAATTAAAATTAATTACTCAAGATGTTACATTTGAAATATTATTCTAAGGCGCAACTTCTCCTGGGAAACCTGATGCAGACAGAGATAGAATGTTTGGAAAGAAGGAGTTTGTCTTTTTTAAAAGAGTTTTCAAAAAGAAAAAAAACCTTGCACATTTATTTGACTCTTCATATCTGAATTTAAAATTAAAACGCTGAGTTTACTTCACTAGCTTGAGCAAGATTCAGCTTCTTTGATCAACTTACGAAGAAAATACATGGGTTTATTTATAGAGCATGTGTGTGTAAATACAAATGTATACACATCCACACACACTGTGTCATGAACTGGCTCCCTGAGAACCAGGATGAGACCTTTGTTACATGAGGGAAAGGAAGAGACACTGTGGTTTAGAAAAGAAACCACATGTAAAACTAAAATTTTTCACATTGCTTAAATGCTGCTGAAAGAAGCTCAGACACCGGGGTGAGAAAGAGAATGCAAGAATCTATGAAGTATCAAATTATATGGCATGCTGAAAAACAGAACTGTTGAACCTTTCTTCCTAATTTTGTTAGCTTGCGAAGCCTTAAAAACACTTTACAGTCCTTCCTGCATTTACTATCCCTTTTCCCGAAATCCCACATTATTTGATTGTTTACAAACGATAGTCTGTGGTAACGTTGTTCACTGTTCACTGCAACTGAGAAAAATACAATATGTGAAGAAGCTAATTGGTGAGCTGAAGGCCACATAGGGGTTCAATAATCTGAGCTTTGGTTAGCTCCAAATGCTCAAGTCCACATGTAAACTCTC